TGATCCTGGGGACCCGGGATCGAGTCCCACGTTGGGCTCCCTGCATGGAGCCTGCTTCTCCTTCTGCCTGTGTCTCTGCCTCTCTCTCTCTCTCTCTGTCTCTCATTAATAAATTAAATCTTAAAAAAAAATAGAAATAAAATTTTTTTTTTCCCATTTTCTATTTTTCTCCAACTGGTTTGTTTTCTCCCGGTGGTTGAGGGGCAGGGAGTAAAGGCAACAGTAGTGTCAGAGAAAGACAGAGCCCCCTTTCCTTTCTCCTAAGAGCTTCACAACCCAGCTCAGTGAGTCTTGTTTCCAGAAAGACCTCCCACAGAGGTAGTATCTACAACTTTCAAGAGGTCAGAGCCTGCTGGGCAGGACCAACGCGACTCAAAGACTTTCCCGGGCCCAGGAAATAGTACTGAAACTTTGAGATTACATTTTTTCATGATGGAATATACTGGGTTCCTCCTCCCACACTACCATTAAAAATTCCTGCAGGGGCTGCCCTGGTAGCTCAGCGGTTTAGCGCCATCTTCAGCCCAGGGCCTGATCCTGAAGACCGGGGATCGAGTCCCACATGGGGCTCCCTGTATGGAGCCTGCTTCTCCCTCTGCCTGTGTCTCTGCCTCTTTCTCTGTCTCTCATGAATAAATAAATAAAATCTAAATATATAAATAAATAAATAAATAAATAAATAAATAAATAAATAAATAAATAAATAAAAATAAAAATTCCTGCAGAATCCCAAAATATCACTGAAAGAAAAATGGATCTTCACAGCCTACCCAGTTGCGGCCCAGTCGTCTCCTGGAGCAATCATTGCATCATTGCTGTAGACGTTGAACAGAAGCTCAGGCAAAGGAGCAAATTGTATTGTGAAGAGGAAAAATAAAAGTGCTAAGCCAGAGCGCAATCTCTGAAGCTTTGAAAGCTGAGGACGGGGAAGGCGATTTATACCATAAGGAAAATTCTCCTGTTCCTGTACAATTTGGGATCCTAATGGCGTATACCCGCTCTGTATTACTAACACCTGTTTTTTTAACCAGAAGACAAATGTTTAGGTTTTTCCACACAAACATAGTAAAAGGAAAATTTTCATTTTAAAAGCCATATGTTGGGCAGCCCGGGTGGCTCAGCAGTTTAGCACCTGCCTTTGGCCCAGGGCGTGATCCCAGGGTCCCAGGATCGAGTCCCACATCGGGCTCCCTGCGTGGAGCCTGCTTCTCCCTCTGCCTGTGTCTTTGCCTCTCTCTCTCTGTGTCTTTCATGAATAAGTAAAATTTTAAAAAATTAAAATAAATAAATAAACGTTATATGTTAGTTTTGTTTCATTTAAGTGTTTATGCTAAATATGTATTTAAGGGCTTGATTTGCCCAAAATAACTATCATTTTCAAATCTGACACGTTTTAAAGTTGTTCTTTCAGACCACTAAAGGCAAATGAATCTTCACAGTGTAGGATCATGAGATGTATAGAGGAAAAGGAGACTGGGAAAATAGGTCCAAAAAAGGAAAGAAGAAAGAAAGAAAGAAAGAAAGAAAGAAAGAAAGAAAGAAAGAAAGAAAGAAAGAAAGGAAAGGAAAGAAGGAAGGAAGGAAGGAAGGAAGGAAGGAAGGAAGGAAGAAAGAAAGAAAGAAAGAAAGAAAGAAAGAAAGAAAGAAAGAAAGAAAGAAAGAAAGAAAGAAAGAAAGAAAATAGGTCCTGGTCAAAATGAATAGGCAACACAGGAATGGTTCACTTCTTTTTTTTTTTTTTTTAGATTTTTTTTTTTTAAGATTATATTTATTTATTCATGAAAGACACAGAGAGAGGCAGAGACACAGGCAGAGGGAGAAGCAGGCTCCATGCAGGGAGCCTGATGTGAGACGCGATCCTGGGACCCCAGAGTCACACCCTGGGCCCAAGGCAGACACTCAACCACTGAGCCACCCAGGCGTCCCTAAGATTTTCTTTTTTTTTTAAAGTAATCTCTACACCCAGTGTGGGGCTGGAACTTACACCTCTGCGATCAAGTCACATGTCTACCAACTGAGTCAGCCAGGTGCCCCCCGTCTACTTCATTCTTTATTTCATTCCTTAATTTAACAAATATTCGGGGAGTTCCCAACAAACAAGAAACTGGACTAAATGCTGTGGAGAAAGCAGAAATGCTCCAATATTTAATAAGGTATGATTTGAGTTGCAGGATCCATTCTACTTTGGAAGAGAGAGGACAGAGAAATAATTATAATGTGGCAAATGCTAAAACAGATCTGCGTTCAGTGTTTGTGGAAGAACAGAAGAGGGCACTAATTTCTCAATTTCACTGCCCAAGTGCTAAAGCTATGTTTTGATAACCAAAACAAAACAGAAAATAGAAGTAATTATCCCCTTACCTCAATTTTTAAAAAACTCTACTTCTCTCTGAATTATATGCCCTCACTTTAGTTATGGAAATCTTTTCATCAGGCCTCTTCAAAAGAGTGCTAGAAAATGAGATCCGCAGTGATTTTTCAGTAACCCATATACTTTTGCACTGCAGGCCAGTACATGTATTCAAATATATTTAGAAAAATTTAACAGCAACAAAAAATAACATTTATCATTGCTATGTGCAATGCCCTCCAATATATTTTTTTCTGTTCTGTTTTTCTTAGCCCAACATAGGACTCGAACTCAGGACCCCAAGATCAAGAGTTGCACATTCTACCACTGAGCCAGCCAGACGCCCCTGTTCTGTTCTTTTTTCTTTCTTTTTTAATAGATCATGGCAACTCAAGAAATTGATTTCACATCTCACTGATGCTTCATAGCCTACAGTCAAAAAACACTGCTCCAGCATGTCCTTTAAAAAGCAAAGAAATAGGGCAGCCTGGTGGCTCAGCAGTTTAGCTCTGCCTTCGCCCCAGGGCGTGATCCTGGAGTCCCACTTCGGGCTCCCTGCATGGAGCCTGCTTCTCCCTCTGCCTGTGTCTCTGCCTCTCTCTCTCTCTCTCTCTCTCTGTCTCTCATGAATAAATAAAATCTTTAAAAAAATAAATTAAAAAATAAAAAGCAAAGTAATAGTGCTCAGAACAGAAACAAGTATGGTCAGCAGGACCCCACGTGCACCTTCTGCCCTGCAAACCAACAGATCTCCAAGCCACATGGGATTAAATCTCTGGGAGAAAAAAAAAGGGTTGTGATTGCTCAACCCTTTGACCGTGAAGCCACATCAACCAAACAGGCTACTAAGTTGTCCAGCCCTCAAAGGGTGGATCCTCCTCCTAATGGAAGATCCTTTGAAGAGGCTATGGAAGATAAGGAAAAACCTTCTGTAGAGAAGAACTGGAGCATCCAAGGCTGACCAAGAATTTCACACGCTGCAGGCCTGGGTGTCACATTATCCCTGTCCGCCTGAAGAAGACACATGCTCGCAACTACTGACATCCTATTTTCCCTCCATATCATGGATTGGGTGCATTGACATTTGGCCTTACGCTACCAGGTCATGAAGAATTAATCTGGACCTGACCAAAAGGAATTCGGATCACTCAGAGATCCCAAACTAGGGCATGGGATTAATTTCTAGATGAACACCGCCTTCTTTCCTGAAAAACACTGACCATAGAATCATATCTTAATCCAATTCCACTTCATCATAGTTTACAAAACTATCTAGCTAATTAATAGCATCTTCCCCTGTTTTCTGTCATTGATATCATCTTTTCTATTTTAATATTTGATATCTTGAGGCAATTTGAATGGAAGTTAAAAGAATCTGTGGAAGATGTGAGACCTTACTGAAAATTAATGCTGTTTCATTAGAAAATGTTGGGGAATCTACTTTATGTTTCACCAGCAGTCAGGAAGCAGCAATAAAGTTCTCATGCTGTATTACTGAGTCTAACAGGAGTCAACTGGGGACGCCTCAGGGCTCAGCGGCTGAGCGTCTGCCGTTGGCTCAGGTCGTGACCCCAGGATCCCAGCATTGAGTCCCCCCCCCCCCCCCCCCCCCCCCCCCCCCGCATAGCGCGCCCCGCAGGAAGTCTGCTTCCCCGTCTGCCTGTGTCGCTGCCTCTCTCGCTGGGTGCCTCATGAATAAATAAAATCTTTTTTAAAAAATTAAAATAAAATAACAGGAGTCAACTACTTGGACCTCATGATACTTTTGTCGGCATCACAGATCATCAAGAAAACCTTCTACAGGGGGATCCCTGGGTGGCTCAGTGGTTTGGCGCCAGCCTTTGGCCCAGGGCGCAATCCTGGAGTTCCCGGGATCGAGTCCCGCGTCGGGCTCCCGGCATGGAGCCTGATTCTCCCTCTGCCTGTGTCTCTGCCTCTCTTTCTCTATCTATCATAAATGAATAAACAAAAAAAAAAATAATAATAATAAAGAAAACCTTCTACAGACATCATGGATGTTAGGGGATGATCACTGCGGTTATGCAAGAAGCTTGTACGTAGTGTTAGGATGATTTTAGCAGCAAGTATATGTACAGATCAGATCCTCAAACCAACTCAAACTGGCTTTATAAACAAAGAAATTTACCATGTCACACGAGGAATTAGGCAAGATATCTGAAAGATTGGCTACTTCAGGAACTCAGCAATGTCTTAGGTTATATCCCTACTCTTTGTGTCTTGGGTGCTGTCACTCTCAGCATGTTGCTTCTTGTCCTTATAATTATTCTCATGTTTCTGTCCAGAGGGTTATCCCCTTCATCTAACAACAGGTAGAAATTAGCCGTTCTTTATTTTTTTAAAAATGTTTATTTATTTATGATAGTCACACACAGAGAGAGAGAGGCAGAGACACAGGCAGAGGGAGAAGCAGGCTCCATGCACCGGGAACCCGACGTGGGATTTGATCCAGGGTCTCCAGGATCGCGCCCTGGGCCAAAGGCAGGCGCCAAACCGCTGCACCACCCAGGGATCCCCCCGTTCTTTATTTATTACTAGAAATGAGACCTTCTCATGTACTCATGTAGCTTTTCCCCAAATTCACCAGCAGTTAGAAACCAGATAGGGGAAAAGAGTAGCCTCAGACATGATGTATAAAGAGTTATTTTATTATAAGTAATCAAAACTGGAAGAATAAACAGATATTCTCTTTCAACCAAAATTAAATTTGGCTGCCCCAAATAACTAAAGTAACAGTATCCAATAGTTAAACTCTCTCTTCAAATATTAACACTACAGGAATACAACCTTTATCCTGGTAACATTATAGAGTATGTCGTTTTTCCCAAGGCATAGTAAGCACAGATTGCTTAAATTATTCTGATATTACATTTAAAACAATCATGTCTTAAATATTTAAATACCGTTAGAGTAGCAACTTCAATTATTTGGAGAAATTTCCATTTCAACTCAATGAAAACGTATTTTGCTCTTTTCTGGGTGGGTCACCTCCAGACCTCTTGGAATATTTCATCCTTTTCTACGGAAGTGTATGCGATTCATAAGTTCTCTGAACTTCAGTATTAAGGAGTAGTTATTTATGTTGTCTTTCCATGCTTCATAAATCCTTCTAAATTTGTCATAGTAACTTTCTTTTTTCAAATTGAAATCTGACCCGATTTTTTTAAAATAACTGTCTTTTTTCCATATTTCTCTCCAGGAGCCTTTGAATTTTTCCAAATAACTTTCTTCAGATTCTTCCTTCCATATTCCTTCTCCTTTTCTTAAGGCTGTTAATTCGGCTTTAAGTAATTTTTTGTGAATTGTCCAATAGATTTTAGAATCGTAATCTAGCCCTTTAACAAGAACAGTTTTGCCAAGGCCTCTTCTCAAAATTTCTTCATTCAGACTCACACTAAAATATCTACCCTTGAATAAAAAAAATAACACAATCCAATTACTTAAGAAAACTGCTACTACACCCATAACATCTTCTTAACTTCAGAATTTATATTATTTACAAGCAGTTATATTAAACCATTCAGAGGAGTTCCTGGGTGGCTCAGTGTGCTGTGCCCAACTCTCGATTTTGTCTCAGGTCATGATCTCAGGGTCGTGAGATCAAGCCCTGGTCGGATTCCATACTCAGTGCAGAGTCTGTGGGAGATACTCTCTTCCCGCACTTGCTGCCCTCCCCAACACACACACATTCTCTCAAACATAAATAGATATATAAAATCTTTAAGAAAAAGTCATTCAGCAACTTTTCCTCCAGAGAAAAGCCAAAAAACATAAAGCAAAAGAATCCCCAAGACTTTAAAAACACATAATGTTAAACCCAAGATTTTCATTACTAGAAGAGATCCTTGTTCAAAGTTAATTGCCTCTTTTTTTTTTTTTTTTTTTGAGATTTTATTTATTTATTTGAGAGAAAGAGAAAAGAGAGCAGGGGAGGGGGGCAGAGGGAGAAGCTGCCTCCCCGCTGAGCAGACCTGAGGCAGGGCTCATCCCAGGCCCCTGTCACCGGAGCCCCCCTGAGTTGCCTCTTTTATAACATATAGTTCTCCACAGACTCACGGGCCTTCTAACCCAAAGAGGCTAATAAAGTATAAAAAGTGTTTTAGTTTGTTTGCAGTTTGGAGAGGGAAAGGAGCACACAATATAGGCAAAACCACAGAAGGCCAGAGACAACCCGAGAAGTATACAAATGCAAAATGAACTGAATCACCACTGAATTATTTTTTTTAAATTATATTTATTTATTCATGAGAGACACACACACACACAGAGAGAGAGAGAGAGAGGCACAGACACAGGCAGAGGGAGGAGCAGGCTCCATTCCATGCAGGGAGCCTAATGTGGGACTGGATCCTGGGTCTCCAGGACCACACCCGGGACTGTAACTGGCGCTAAGCCACTGAGCCATCCGGGCGGCCCCATCACTGAATTATTATATTAGGTTCAGAATTCCAGTGTGTAGGAAGGTGCTGGTATGTAAATACACTTTTAAAAACCTTCCCACAAAATAACATTAAAAATAGTCCTAGACCTTGACTCTTCATCCTTCAGGAAATTTCCTTCATCTCACTTCCTAATAAAACCAGAAAAATGGGATTTTTCCTACTAATTTACAGGATGAAGGTGACTCTGCTGGGGTCCCTGGGTGGCTCAGTGGTTGAGCATCTGCCTTCGGCTTAGGGCGTGACCCCGGAGTCCCTGGATGGAGTCCCACGTCGGGCTCCCTGCATGGAGCCTGCTTCTCCTTCTGCCTGTCTCTGCCTGTCTCTGCCTCTCTCTCTCTCATAATTAAATAAATAAACAAACAAATAAATAAATAAATGACTCTGCTGCAGCACCTGGTTGGTTCAGTCAGTGGAGCTAAGACTCTAGATCTCAGGGTTGTGGGTTTGAGCCCCGTGTTAGGTGTAGAGATTACTTAAAAATCTAGAAAATCATTTAAAAAAAAGAAATCCTGCTTAGCTATTTATATAGTCCTTGTGGCATTCTAAATTAACAAGATTAATTTTAACAAAGTATTAATAATTTAATAGCTCTGTTAGTCAAATACTTCGCAGTTAAATTCTAATAATGTGAAAACTCCAGGTTTAAAGCAGGAGACATTTTCTAAGACTTTCTGAAAGAACCAGGTAATCTTTTTTCCCTTAAATGCAGTAACTTTCAATCATAATGTGAATAAATAAATACAATTTTATTTTTTATTTATTTATTTTTTTAAAGATTTTATTTTTTTTATTCATGATAGACACACACACACACACACACACAGAGAGACAGACAGACAGACAGAGACACACAGGCAGAGGGAGAAGCAGGCTCCATGCACCGGGAGCCCGACGTGGGACTCGACGCGGGGTCCCCAGGATCGTGCCCTGGGCCAAAGGCAGGTGCTAAACTGCTGCACCACCCAGGGATCCCAATAAATATAATTTGAAAGGGCTTACCATATATTCCTCAATATTTCGAATTTTAAGAGCTCATTCACTTAAACCAAAATCAGAATAACTAAAATTCAATCTCACACTTTAGTAAAATTGAACAGATGTAAATTACCAGAGTCTGCATACCGCATAGTTGGGTCACGTAGGAAGCAATACAAGCTAAAGTATGTAAGGTGAAGTGCGAGCTCGAGAGCCAGAAAGAGCTAGGCTGCATGCAGCCTCTTCCACTTCATTACCCTGAGTCCCATCTGCAAACGGGAGTAAAAACAGTGACTCCATAGGGTGGTTTTGAGAATAAATTAAATACACTTCTGAACTTAAAATAGTTTTTAATTTTTTATTTGTATTTTTATTTATTCTTATTATTTTTTGCTTTTTAAAAAAAATTTTTTTAACGATGTTATTTGGGGCACCTGGGGGTTCAGTCAGTTAAGCAGCTGCCTTCGGCTCAGGTCATGATCTCAGGGTCCTGGGACAGAGCCCCACATCGGGCTCCCTGCTCAGCAAAAGTGGGGAGTCTGCTTCTCTCTCTATCCCTCCCCCTGCAGCACTTGCACCAGCAGGGGAAGGGGCAGAGGGAGAAGCAGAGAATATCAAGCAGACTCGCTGCTGAATGCAGAGCCCAATGCCAGGTGGATCTCAGTACCCTGAGATCATGACCTGAGCAGAAATCTGGAGTTGGATGCTTAACCTACTAAGCCACCCAGGTGCCCCAACATTTCTTTAAAATTTTTTAAGTATCTCTACACCCAAGGTGGGGCTCTAATTCATGACCCCAGGATCAAGAGTCACACGCTCCACCAACTAAACTAACCAGGCGCCCAGAGAAGATAACGTTTTTGTAAAACCTTGGCATCTTTATTTATTTATTTTTTTATTTATGATAGTCACACACAGAGAGAGAGAGAGAGGCAGAGACACAGGCAGAGGGAGAAGCAGGCTCCATGCACCAGGAGCCCGACGTGGGATTCGATCCTGGGTCTCCAGGATCGTGCCCTGGGCCAAAGGCAGGCACTAACCCGCTGCACCACCCAGGGATCCCCAACCTTTGGCATCTTTATATATTTTGTTTTACCAGCTTACTTCAAAAAAAAAAAAAAAAAAGTGATTTGTAAGTAATCTCTACACCCAACATGAGGTTTGAACTCACAACTCCAAGACTTGCATGTTCCACTGACTGAGCCAGCCAGGCACCCCTACCAGCTTACTTTCAAACGTAAGCCATTTCAACCTATCAGTGTGGATAATTCTTATTTTAAAAGAACAAAAATGTGATCTGGGCATACAGAGATTAATGAGTTTCATTAGGCTTTCTATGAATAGTTCAAAACGCTCTGAAGAATTAAAATGGTTACAATTATACAATGGAATATTCCTCAGCCATTAGAAACGACAAATACCCACCATTTGCTTCAACGTGGATGGAACTGGAGGATATTATGCTGAGTGAAGTAAGTCAATCGGAGAAGGACAAACAGTGTATGTTCTCATTCATTTGGGGAATATGAATAATAGTGAAGGGGAATATAAGGGAAGGGAGAAGAAATGTGTGGGAGATATCAGAAAGGGAGACAGAACATAAAGACTCCTAACTCTGGGAAATGAACTAGGGGTGGTGGAAGGGGAGGAGGGCGGGGGGTGGGGGTGAATGGGTGACGGGCACGGAGGGGGACACTTGACGGGATGAGCACTGGGTGTTATTCTGTATATTGGTAAATTGAACACCAATAAAAATTAATTTACTAAAAAAATAAAAATAAAAAAAAATAAAATGGTTACAATTTTAATCACCTTAACATGAGGTTATTTTTTCCTTCAGATTATTTTTGTTATATAATAATGGACTTTAAAAATAAAACTGTTCTTGGGGGATCCCTGGGTGGCTCAGCGGTTTAGCACCTGCCTTCAGCCCAGGGCATGATCCTGGAGACCCGGGATCGAGTCCCATGTCGGGCTCCCTGCATGGAGCCTGCTTCTCTCTCTCTCTGCCTGTGTCTCTGCCTCTCTCTCTCTCTCTCTCTCTCTCTCTCTCTCTCTCTGTCTCCCATGAATAAGTAAATAAAATATTAAAAATAAAAAAAATAAAAAGTAAATAAAACTGTTCTTTTTTTGTTTTTATTTATTTTTTTAATTTTTATTTATTTATGATAGTCACACAGAGAGAGAGAGAGAGAGAGAGAGGCAGAGACATAGGCAGAGGGAGAAGCAGGCTCCATGCACCGGGAGCCTGACGTGGGATTCGATCCCGGGTCTCCAGGATCGTGCCCTGGGCCAAAGGCAGGCGCTAAACCGCTGTGCCACCCAGGGATCCCATAAAATTGTTCTTAATCCTGTCATAATACTTTATTTACTTTGTACTTTCTTTTTTCAGTAATTGTCTACCAAAATTAGCATGAAGTAAGGGACACACAAGGCTCAGGACAGTGACACAGCAACAGTGATGAAGCCCCGGGGTACACGGTGGCCATGGCCAATCATAACAGTAAGAATACTCTGAGACAAAGTTTTCAGATGATGCATTACTGATCATAAACAGTATTTAAATATGCTCAACTTTAAAGTTCAAAGACTAAGCAGTATTTACTTCGGAAAACACCCTTCTTTGTGGTTTCCAGTTGACAGGGCTCACCCAACAAGCAGTTTCTAAGCACAAAGATGATATATTTTTTTAAACATTTTATTTATTTATTCATGAGCGACACAGAGAGAGAGGCACAGGGAGCCCGATGCGGGACTCGATCCCAGGGCCTCAGTGTCATGCTCTGAGCCAAAGGCTGAAGCTCAACCACTTGAGTCACCCAGGCGTCCAAACAAGGATGATGTATTATACTCATGTACATGTAAATACATCAAGATCATCCTTAAATTAGCAATGTCTAAAGTCATTAATAATTTTAAGTTTTTTCCATTTTCTTGATTTTTTGTATTTTCTGTATTTCTGTATTTACATATTAATAAGTATATATTAATATATAAGAAACAAAATTTATACATGCATGAAAAGACCTGGTTCTCTAAACATAATCACTATGACTAGCAGTGAAGACCAGAATTCAGTCCCATTATAGATTCAAGGTTCTGGTTAATGATGTTTATGTGTAAATACAAAGAATATAACGTGGCTCGTTATTTCCTCACACTACTTACCTTATTCACTAGAAGATAGCAAAAGAGTGCTGAATTCTCCTTTCCAAGAAGTTGAAACCATAGCAGTTGGGAAGGCTTCAACTCTTCCTGTAACCACAACTTCCCAGTTTCAGTGAGTTCTACTCCTGCCAGCTTAACCAGCAGAACACCACAGGGCTCTTCTAAAAAGGTTAGGTAGAAAATTGTCTGGCTTTAATACCACGTGGCAAAAGCAAATTTCAAAGTCACGTGCCCCCCACCGAAACAGCTGGATCATGTTTATGTACAAACACCCAGACTCCTCTAGATTTGTATCTGTGTTCAAGTTTTCTTTTACAGCAACTCAAGCATGTTACATATGGAATAATGTAAAAACTCCATCCCAGGAAGCTCCAGAACAAAATGGAGAACCCATTAATAATAACAACACACATATGGCAATTTACAGTGCTGTGGCACTGCGTGACCCCTGGAAGCAGGTTCCCCCTGAATAGCACCCCCGGAGTTGTGCAGTGTACAACCTGGACAAACCCAGTTGGTGCCTTTGCTGCCTGAGCACCTAAGAGTCCTCACTGTTTCAGAGAGAAGAGATTTAGATTTTTACAGCAGAACTACAACGACTGAGAAGGTAGAGGACCCAGGAAGTCTCGATCCTGCTTAGATTAAAATGGCTGACAAACATCCATCCCAGGTTCTCTCTCCTTAGGGAACTAGAGTCATTCAAATTATTTAATTCCTGTTTGATTTGTTAAAAGAACTGATCATGTTAGGCATGTTGGGGGGAAAAGAAAACCCAATCTTATTCCTTTACAGTCATATCTTGTTGGACAGAGTGAAATTCATTCATTTGAAGGTAAAAGATAAGAGCCCCTTTCTTTATAAAATTAAAATGATATGGAAAAAAATGATATGAAGAAGAACTTAAAATATAACTAAATTTATTCAACGAGTTTTACCAAGTCTCTGTCGGCTAATAATCATTTCTCTAGGGACTGTGAATAATGAGCTAAGTAGGAAAGGGTCCAAGCCCACCAGATGCTCAGCGCAGGGGGAGGAGATAAACCTAAACGCAGGATTATAGGAAAACGTGTTTAAGTACTAACTGCAGGGTGTATAAATTATTGTGGGTGCAGTAGAGAAAGAGGCTAATTCTGCTGGGGAGTCACGGAGAGCTTCCGGGAGCCAAACTCATGCCCACACAGGCCCTACCTAGAGAGCCTCCCTCATCCTTCAGGTCTCTGATCTCGGAACAGCCCATCGAGGCTTTCTCTGACCACGTACAGGCGTGGGTTCCCCGCACGCATGACTCCCGGTTATGCTCAGACTAGTACCTGTCCCTTCTCATACCTCTTTGAACAATTTTCACTCGTCTGCTGTCTATTTTCCAGTTAAGACTGTAAGCTCCAAAGAGCAGTCTTGTTGGCTTCACCCCATGCACAGCTAGCGCATGGCCCAGAACATCGCAGTTGCTCAGGATTTGTGAATACATTTGCCTGAATGAAATAGCAAACGGCTGAATAAAAAGAGGAGGCAGGAGAGAAGGAAATCTGGAGCCAAATTAAACAGTTCCTTGTATCTAAAGCCAAGAGTTCACACTCTCTCACAGACAATGGAAAGTCATTAAAACTTAAAATGACTTTTTTTGCCATTTTACAAATAACTTCTAATTAACAAATACCAAAATAGCTGTATCATTTTCTTGCACTTTACTTACTTTTCCATGAAGATATAATAGGTAAAGTAATGGGAATATGCTCAATTTCTAAACCATCTTCAGTTATTCGGCGTAATCGTCCACGTAGTTTAACATTCTTTCTTATAAATTCTACTGGAATATCTGAAGAACTTGTAAATTTTGATGTCTGTTAATTTATAAAAAAAAGGTTTATGACATGTTATTATTTTCATTTTAAAATTAAGTATGTCAAATTGTCATCTAAACATTTAACAAGAAGACATAACCACTGAAAAACTTTAATTTGGTCCTTAGTTTTATATTGATATCTTAGTACAATTTAATCAAAGTGTTTATAGGAGGGGGGGCACCTGCCTGACTTAGTTGGTAGAGCATGCAACTCTTGGTATTAGGGTTGTGGGTTAGAGTCCCACTTTGGGCATGCGGATTACTTTAAATCTTTTGAAAAAAAAAGTATGAATACTAAAATTTAGATTTAGTATTTTAAAAGACGTTGACAATTAGGATGATGGCATAAAATGTAAAAGTCTTCCCCTTACTCTCCAAAACTAATGAAGGATAGAAGAGAATAAACTAATTGTAGCATTTTTGAAAAAGATTAAGACGTTTTAGTTAACCGTGAACTCAAAATGAGTGAAGGTGCGGCAAGGCTACAAAAAAAAACACACAAATTCCTTCTCTTCTCCACTCTTCTCTGCTCCCTACCAAAGTCCAAACACCAAGCAACTGTAAGGAACAGGATCCAAGACAAGAGAGGGTGAGGAAGACACTGCTCCAAACCAAGCCCTAATGGAAAATACCACGTTTCATAAAAGACTGGGTATTGCATTTCAAAAAGACTTCCGCCAACTGGAACAAAGCTAGAATAGGGGGGAAAAGATGATAAAGAGCCTGGAAACCACATCACATGAGAAAACCAAAACTATTTTGCACAGGGGAGACAAGACTCAGAAGAAGTAGAGAGGCTCATTCAAGATCTCTTCAATTACCAAACGTCTCACCCTTTTAATTTTTATGTGTTTTCATTAAAGGACATACATAAAAAGACATAAGAGTACCTGGATGTTTGGAGTTTTAGAAATTATTAAGGAGCTGAGGGAAGAAACTGAAGTAGAACCCATGTTCCCATTCTCAAGGAATTCACAGTGGATGCGAAGAACCTTTGAAGGCAGATCCCACTGCATCTACCTTTTCCAGATCCAGTAATCCCTCAACAGCAGAAAGTTGCTGTGTTTCTGTGACCTAACAGGCACTATCTGGAAGGTGAGCTAACAATATACATAAAACCAGAATACAACTGCAGAGCAATAAAGAGGTTTAAGATAAAGTGTAAGTGCTAAAGAGTTGGGGCCGGGGCTCCTGGGTGACTCAGTCAGTTACAAATCCGACTCTTAAAAAAAAAAAACGAATCCAACTCTTGATTTCGGCTCAGATCATGATCTCAGGGTCATGGGATGGAGCCCCATGTCAGGCTCTGCACACATTGGGGAGTCTGCTTGAGATTCTCTCTCCCTCTGCCTCTCCTCCCCACTCTCTAAATAAATAAGTAAAATCTTAAAAAAAATACTGCTTCATAGGATTATTTTAAGTATTAAATGAAATTATATATATCAAGTGTTTAATACAGTGCTGAACTCAATCATCATTTTTTAAAAATATTAAAGTTGGAATTTTCTACCAGAAATTGAAAGAATATGAGAGTTTGATAAACACTGGAGGAGGAAAAAGGAGAAAAACAACAATATAAAAGAAAGCTGAAGAGGAGCTATTAGGGTGCCTTGTGGCAGGCCCGGGGTTGGTTAATGCAATATCCATTCCCAAGCCTCTCTCCCTTGTCATCAAGCACTGTAAGGGATGGAAAAGCTAAACGGCTGCTTTCCCAACTTCCTTTCCCACTACTGGTGGCTATATGATAAAAAGATGTAAGCAAAAGTCTGCTGAAGGCTTCTGGTACCTTTTGCTTTCTTGACAAAAGGAAAAGATGTGGCTGGCACCTTCCTTTTCCCTCTCCTCCTGCTCTGAACATGAATATGCTATTTGGAGATAAAGCAGCCACTCTGTGCCATGAGGACAGACATCGAGAAGCATACAGACCTAAAACTCTGTCACTGAGCCAGAGAAGCAATGCCAGCAGCACCCTGTCTCCAGAAGTCTTGTGACGTGAGAAAAAAGGTTTTTTAACTCGGTTAAGCCACTATTGTGCGGGGTTTCTCTTATTTGTAGCTAAAGTTCTCCAACTGTTACACCACAGAATTTTTGGTTCCCTAATGTTCCAAAGTTCTTTTTCTACCTCCTTAGCTTGCTCTTCTCATCAGTAGTCACTATTTTCAAAAAACATAAAATCTAAGAAAAAAAAGACACCAGAACCATAGTCTAAAATGAGTAACTTCATAACATACCAATATGATTTATATTAATCAATAAATAATTTGCATTAATAACATACCTAATATTATATGACTTAAAACAACCTATAGTTGACTTATATAATTTTTAGGGGCTAAAAAGCCAAATAATCCCTCCGCATTATTTTTACCTAAACTCTTAATCAGATCATTTCATATTTTGACAATTTTGAGACCTTCAAAGTATAAATGTCATGGAACATAGGTTGTAACATAAAGAAAAAAGTGGAATGAAAAGAACCAATGTTTCAAAAGTTCCATGCTAAAAATATATATAAGCTAAAAGCAAATGACTTACAAATCATGGAGGTGTTAAAAGAAAAAAACCCTATTATATTATTAGATATAAGGTTAAAAATGAGTTCAAGGTACTCAATAAGAAAAAGAAGATAAAAGTTCTCATACTGGAGTCAGGGGGGAAAAGCAACAGTTGGAAGACATGAAGGAAGTAATACCACGCCGTCAACGATAATATAAAAACAATATAGAGATTGGAAATGTAGGACCTTCATATACGCAGATGCAGTAAATCCATTCCAGATTGTAACATGACACTAAAATTACACCCGGTGACAAGAATCAGTCATATAAAAAATACTTATAAATCTTGAATCATCAAATGGGTTTTTCCACAATATCTATTATAAAAACAATACTGAAGCAGCAAAAAAAATATGCTAACGGAAAGCATAAATTATTTTTTTACACCATACTTCTTGCTCTATTCATTAAAAAGATCTCACAGATTGTTGCAAATCAGAGAAAGCATAAATTATTCAGTGCTACAGGACATAATTTGACTGTGATCTAAATCTAAAACCACTATACAAAACGGTTTTGAGACATTCCAACACGTCTGAAATGCAAATTTAGTGATTACGGCGTTCCAGCCAACTAAATCCTTTACAGATTCCTTTTTAAGCACGGAAAAAAAAAAAGCGATTATGGAAATACAGTCTAGGCAATCATTTTCCATAAAATCCTGTGGATGGATGTGTTACTTTTAAACCAAGATCTTAAAATAGGTTTGTTGTTCCAAAATAATATTTTAAACTTCTAATGAGAATAACACGATGATGCACTGCTTGAGAGAAAAATGGTCTTGAAACGAGAAGAGAAAAAAGAAAAAAAGAAACGAGAAGAGATTAGCTGTTGCTTGCGGATCACAGGGCCCTCGTCATGTTCTAACTTACCATCCGGATGCTTCTTAGAAGTAACATTGTTCCAGCTACGGCCATTACGGTGCTGATGTTCTTCAAAAAGAGATTGAAGGATTAATTGTCACTGGTTATTATTCATAATAGCAAAAGTACTAATTAGAAGCGGGAGGGGGAGCAGACTGACCTTCCCCCATCTGTCCAAATAAGGCACATCCGTCAACTAAAGGCCCATTTCTCTCAACAAACTTTATCTGCCCACCTACTCATTAACCTTCCCCTTTTCCTCCCAAACAAGCTGGTGTGCACAATAATTATATACGTAATATTGTATTGTTCTCCACTGACTCTTCCCTTTAAACCATGAATTCCTTAAACGCGTGAACGAGCCTACAGCAGGAATGTAAATGACGGGTAGAAAAACTTGACCATCGAAACCTCACAATCCAGGGCCTCAGATGTGTATGTGGTAAACGGTCGGGAAGGAAGAGTGTATCAATGGTTTCAAAGTGCTTCATTTAAACTGAAATAGACCTAAAAGAGTTTAATTTAAAAAGAAGAACCCTGTGGCTCCCTCAACAAGAGGGACAACCTGACAAGCTTCCCTTCAATAAACAGGACTCGGTGTGTAAGCAATGAAGCTGAAAATACACACACGGAAAGAAATGAGGATGCGAAGATTCGTCTTCGTGTTGAAGTGAAGACACTTAGATCCACCTCTGATCTTGCCCCAAACATCAGGGAACATAAAACAAGGCAGTGTGGGACGCCTGGGGGGCTCAGTGGTTGAGCATCTGCTCAGGGCGTGACCCCGGGGTCCTGGGATTGAGTCCCACATCCGGCTCCCGCATGGAGCCTGCTTCTCCCTCTGCCTGTGTCTGTGTGTCTCCTGAATAAATAAAATCTTTAGGGGATCCCGGGGGGATCCCTGGGTGGCGCAGCGGTTTGGCGCCTGCCTTTGGCCCAGGGCGTGATCCTGGAGACCCGGGATCGAATCCCACGTCGGGCTCCCGGTGCATGGAGCCTGCTTCTCCCTCTGCCTGTGTCTCTGCCTCTCTCTCTCTCTCTCTGTGACTATCATAAATAAATAAAAAATTAATAAAAAAAAATTAAAAAAAAAAAATCTTTAGGGGATCCCTGGGTGGCTCAGCGGTTTGGCACCTGCCTTTGGCCCAGGGTGTGGTCCTGGAGACCCGGGATGGAGTCCCATGTCAGGCTCCCTGCGTGGGGCCTGCTTCTCCCTCTGCCTGTGTCTTTGCTTCTCTCTCTGTCTCTCATGAATAAATAAATCATTTTAAAAAACAATAATAAAATATTTAAAATAAAATAAATAAGGCAGTGAAACCTTTACAATCACCAACGTATCATGTCTTGTGTTTGTTTTGTGCATTTTCCATTTGTAGAAAAACAAAGGAAGTACACCTAAGGATACATTCTGTGATCAGGGTACTTGGAGTAATAGAGCTGTGCGCCAATATATTTTATTTTGCTTTTTTAAAGATAGCAGAGGCTCCTCGCAGGGGGCCGGATGCAAGACTCGATCCCCCGGGCCCCAGGATCACACCCTGAGCTGAAGGCAGATGCTCAGCCCTGAGCCACCCAGGGGTCCCTCCAGGTGCTCATTTAAATAGTTTCCTCTCTCAATCTATTGAAGTCATTTTTTTTTTTTTTTTACTTGAAATAACTCCTGTGCCAACGTCTGCCTCCCTGGAAGAAGAGAGGCCTAGTCACTCAGCGAGTGTCCCTATCTTCCAGGACCGCCACCACCGACTGCAGCGCTTCCCACGTGGAAGGCAGGAGCCTGGGGACCCGAGCTGAGCTGAAGGGCAGGGGCCGGGGTGCTGGCCGGGCCGCGGGGTGCACCCCCAAGCAGGTGCCCCCCGTCTCACGACAAGTTCCGGAACTGATCCTCCCCCCCGCGGTCTCTCCACCTGCCCCCAGGACACCCGGTTTTGCTGATTTCCCCGCCGCCCTCCGGGATTCTCCAGGGGAGACTCCTGGGCCCAGGCCTCGGCCCAGGTCACCCCGGGCCTCACCCGCTCCCCAAGGGCCACGGGGGCTCGTTCCTGAAGGGCCACGGCCAGTTCCCGCGGCCCAGGTGACATCTACATCGTCCCTTAGGGTCCCTCACCTGTGCGCAGGGCCCTGAGGACCGGCCCCACGCCCCACGGACCCCGAGGCCCCGCTGAAGCCGCTCGGACCACCAGGGACCCAGGGGCGGCCCCATCGCCCGAGCCGCCCGGGCCTTCGGGGTCACCGACGGCCAGTCCCGTCCTCCCCGCCGCCGCACCCGCTCGGGGCACCAGGCCCACAGGCCCGCGGCCTCCCTCCAGCGGGCCCCGAGGGCTGGGGGACACCTGGGCTGCGCCGGGGCTCCGGGAGCCCCCCTCCCCCGCCGGGCCCGTCTCGGGGTGTCCCCCTCCCCCACCAGGTCCGTCTCGGGGCGCCCCCTCCCCCACCAGATCCATCTCGGGGCGCTCCCTCCCCCCGCCGGGCCCGTCTCGGGGCGCCCCCTCCCCCACCAGGTCCATCTCGGGGCGCTCCCTCCCCCCCGCCGGGCCCGTCTCGGGGCGCCCCCTCCCCCACCAGGTCCATCTCGGGGCGCCCCCTCCCCCACCGGGTCCATCTCGGGGCGCCCCCTCCCCCCGCCGGGTCCGTCTCGGGGCGCTCCCTCCCCCCGCCGGGCCCGTCTCGGGGCGCCCCTCCCCCCGCCGGGCCCGTCTCGGGGCGCCCCTCCCCCCGCCGGGCCCGTCTCGGGGCGCCCCCTCCCCCACCAGGTCCATCTCGGGGCGCTCCCTCCCCCCGCCGGGTCCATCTCGGGGCGCTCCCTCCCCCCGCCGGGCCCGTCTCGGGGCGCCCCTCCCCCCGCCGGGCCCGTCTCGCGGCGCCCCCTCCCCCCGCCGGGCCCGTCTCGGGGCGCCCCCTCCCCCACCAGGTCCATCTCGGGGCGCCCCCTCCCCCACCAGGTCCATCTCGGGGCGCCCCCTCCCCCCGCCGGGTCCGTCTCGGGGCGCTCCCTCCCCCCGCCGGGCCCGTCTCGGGGCGCCCCTCCCCCCGCCGGGCCCGTCTCGGGGCGCCCCCTCCCTCCCCGCCCCCTCACGCGCGGCGAGCCCAGCCCAGCCCGGCCGCGCTGCAGCCCCTGGGCCCGCCCGCCCCCCTGCGCCCACCGCGCGTCCTGCCGGCGGCCTGCGGTACCCGGACGAGGCGCAGGTGGTCGTCCGCCCACTGCGAGACCCGCGCCACCACGTTGGGCGCCGCTCCGTCCGGGTCCCCAGGCCGCGAGGCGGCGGCCACAGCCGGGCCCGCCATGTTCCCGGCGGGCGGCGCGCGGGCGGGGCCTCGCGGGGCGGGGCGGGGCTCAGAGGAGGAGGGGCGGGGCTCCTGGGGTGGGGGCGGGGCTCCGGAGACGGGGGCGGGGCTCCAGGGGAGGCGGGGCGGGGCTCCCGGGGGTCGGCGGGGGGTGGGGATCCTTAAGTTGGGGGCGGGGCTACGGGGCAGGGGCGGGGCTCCAGGGGAGGCGGGGGCGGGGCTCCTGGGTGGTCCGCGGGGGGCGGGGCTCCTGGAGCGGGGCTCCTGGGTGGTCCGCGGGGGGGCGGGGCCCCCGGGCTCCCCGGCTGCAGGGTCCCGGTCTTGGCCGCGCGGGAGAACCCCGGCGACCTGCTCTTTGCTCCCCGCTGGCCTGAGGGCGGGGGCTGCACACCTGCGACAGCGAACCCCCATGATGCCCAGATGTCCGCCTCCCGGGGCAGGTACGGGGCGGGGCCTGGGGCCGAGCAGGTGCGGAGCGGATCATCCGGCTGCGGGCAGCGCGGCCTCGGTGCGGCTTGCACACCTGCCAGGCGCAAAGGCCGTGGGTCATCCAGTACGCCCCCCCCCCCGCTCCCCAGTACAACCAGACACAGTATCTGTGGGATGTGCCCTGAAGTTTGCACAGTCGATGCCCCCAGCAATGGGCACAGTGGCCAAGCGGTGGGAGAGCCGGGTGTCCTCGGGCAGAGGGATGGATACCAGGTGCGTACCTGGGCTGTGACCCCGCGCAGGAAGGACGACGAACACCTACCGTCTACTTCCATGTGGTTGGAACTGGAGGGTGTTATGCTGAGTGAAATAGGTCCGTGGGAGAAAGTCATATGGTCTCACTTGTAGGGGGAATATCAGAAATAGTGACAGGGACCTTAAGGGAAGGAGGGGAAACTGAGGAGGAAAAATTAGAGAGGAAGACAAACCCATGAGAGACTCCTAACTCTGGGAAACACACAAAGGGGTAGGGGGCAATGGGGTGACTGGGTGACGGGCACTGAGGAGGGCACCCGATGGGATGAGCACTAGGGGTTATATGATGTGTTGGCAAACTGAATTTAAATTTTTTTTTAAAGTTTGCACAATTGCTTTGTAAGCCTAATACAACTGTGCTCTACATTATTGAACTGCTAATTGATTAAATTTAGAAGCTGACTATACTAATATATTAGTAGTAGTATATATTAGCATATATTTTAAGTTTTTATTTATTTATTCATGAGAGTCACAGAGAGAGGCAGAGGCACAGGCCAAGGGAAAAACAGGCTCCATGCAGGGAGCCCGATGTGGGACTTGATCCAGGACCCCGGGATCACATCCTGGGCCCAAGGCAGACACTAAACAGATGAGCCACCCAGGGCTCCCTATATTAGTATATATATATTTTTTAATTTTATTTATTTATTCATGAGAGACACAGGGAGAGAGAGAGGCAGAGACACGGGCAGAGGGAGTAGCAGGCTCCATGCCGGAAGCCCGATGTGGGACTCAATCCCGGGACTCCAGGATCACACCCTGGGCCAAAGGCAGGCGCTAAACCGCTGGGCCACCCAAGGATCCCCTATTAGTATATTTTATTTTTATTTTTTTTCCTATTAGTATATTTTAAAACATAATGTAGGGCAGCCCCGGTGGCGCAGCAGTTTAACCCCTCCTGGAGACCCAGGATCAAGTCCCACATCAGGCTCCTTGCATGGAGCCTGCTTCTCCCTCTGCTTGTGTCTCTGCCTCTGTGTGTGTGTGTGTGTGTGTGTGTGTCTCATGAATAAATAAAAAAAATCTTTTTTAAAAAATGTAGAAGCAGGACAGAGAACAGTAATGACATCATAACATTTGTGTGAAAAAATGTGTATGCGTGTGTGCACCATGAAAAGCTATGCAAAAGGCAGGCAACAGTGACTGTCCCTGGGGAGAAGGGCTGGGCCAGGAATGGTTGGGAGGTTTAACTACCTGCCAGCTTTTATAGAACATTTTGTAATAAGGGGAATGTTGTGAATCCACTTTGTTCAGTTTCATAGCTCTAGCCACATGCGGCTATTCTGCGCTCGACGTACAGCTAGTACAACTGAGCAACTGAAGTTTTATTTTTTCAGAGTAAACTTTAAGCCCAATATGGGGCTTGAACTCATGACCCCCTGGGGCTTGAACTCCCGGGATCTTCTGACTAGGCCAGCCAGGAGCCTCAGGAACTGACTCTCTAACTTTATTAATTTTAATTAATTCCAATAGTCACACGTAGCTAGTGGCAACAATATTGGGCAGTGCAAGGATATCACTGGAAATTTTTTTTTTTTTTTTTTACCTTATGCACCTATTACCTTTAGAAGTCAAGATGGGGCAGCCCGGGTGGCTCAGTGGTTTAGCACCACCTTCAGCCCGGGGTGTGATCCTGGAGACCTGGGATCCAGTTGGGCTCCCTGCATGGAGCCTGCTTCTCCCTCTGCCTGTGTCTCTGCCTCTCTCTCTCTCTCTCTCTCTCTCTCTCTGTGTGTGTGTGTGTGTGTCTCATGAATAAATAAAATCTTTTAAAAAATAAAATAAACTGAGTCCGAGTCCAACTGGCTATAAATCTAAATATAAGTTTTTCATCATAAAAAAAAAGACACTTGTAGAAATTAGGAGCCCTGCAACCTCAAGCCAATTACCAGGCAATGATCAGGAATGGTGATATAGCTGGGTCTTCGTCTACAGGGTAGTTTGGGAACCAAGACGTTGTTCCGGAGCTAACCTGCTCTGTCCAGAGAGCCACCAGCAGCGCCCCCTTTCCCAGGAGCAGTTCGTTGAGCCCCGTGGATAATATTTTTCACCTCTTGCCAGCAACTCAATTTCTGCCTCACTGTGTATTTGGGACCCCCCTCCCACTACCAACACACGTTTGTCCGTCTCCCACATAACCTCCCAGAAAAGCTGTGAGCGCTCCAGGCATCATCATCCTCCCTGAAGGGGCCTGGGACAGGGCCCCCCCTTGCGCCCCCCCCCCAGGATGTGCCACTTTGGTGCATGGATCATTTTGAGCCGAAGGGCCTTGAAACCCTGTGGGCTCAAAAGAAATGTTTGCCTCTCCCTTAACCACACGGAAAAATCTACATTGGGAGTCTTTCCCAGAATAAGGGTCACCGACGGAGGTAAATACATCTGAGCGCCCCATTTGTATGTAATCGCCAACCATCTGGCCTTCTCGTCACCCCGTCACCCCGTGGAACCCATTCCTCTCCTCTAGAATCCCAGAGCCAGCCCCTTCTCAGGTGAGAACCGCATCCTTCCTTCCTTCCACCTGCCTTTGGAATTCCCGGGTCTATGCGGTCCCCCTACGCCTGCCTATTCAGTTTCATTTTCTCCTGATTTTAATGTGTCTCACGTCAATTTGATTCTTTGTCCAGAAATTCTTGCCCCTCACCGTTATCAAGCAGAGCTTTCATCCCAACCCACCTATGGGATTTTTTTTTTTTGAAAGATTTAAGCAGTTTTTTATTTTTCCACGGAACAGGTAAATCAATGATCTTATGCTATTGTTGTTTTTTGTCTTTCCAACTCAAAGCTCCTATACCTCTGCAAATATGAGGCACAGACAGACTAGATGATGAATGTTATCAAGCTAGTTACTGCCCGAACCCCCCTAAAAAAAAATAAATAAATAATAAAAATCAAAAAAAAAAAAAAAAAAGAAAGAAAGAAAGAAACCTACGTCCTAAAAAAAAAAAAAAAAAAAAAGAAAAAAGAAACCTACCTCCTCATCTCAATCAGCCCAGCGCCCCTTTCACGGTATCCTTCTGCCTTCCAAGTATGGATTTAGGTGTAGGGAGAGGGGAAGCATGGACATAAAATATGGAAAAATTCTCCCCAACTACTGAGAATAGGCAAGACTAGAAATGGCACCTGCCCCCCACATGGTAGGCCAACATGTTAAAAATAAAAGGATGCAAAAGACAGCTTTGTGTTTCACAGGTATGTGAGGAAGTCCCTAAAGCTTGAGAAGGGTTGAGATGCTGCAAATGGAAGCCATGATGGTAGCTCTGAGGACACTTACATGGGGAGGGTAATGTGGTGACTCTTCCTTGGATTTGTTGAATTCTTCAGTCCATGAGGTAGCGGATAGCCAAGACCTCTTGTTTCTCCCCATATTCTGTTTGAGGTAGAGTACTTTTCGATCGTTTTTCTCCTCAAAACTTCATAATAAACCTGAGCCCCCAGAGTCATCCTCTCATCTCCCATAGGCAGCTCATCATTTTCCTCTTCCCTTGCTCCTCATTCCTACAGCGACGTCTGGCCCTGGGACTCCGAGTTTGCTGCTCAGCCTCTCTAGTCTTCCAACTGAGGTGAAGACGGAAGGAAAAAGGAGGGTAGGTGAATGGAGGAAACATCCAACGGCTCTCAGCCCGCATGGCCAGCACCTTCTTGTTCCCTGGCCTTCTGAGTCTCGAAGCTGTCATCCAATCTTCCTTTTCTTTTCATTTCTTCTTGTCCTTTGGCCAAAAAGAAGAGATGCAACAGGCCTGTAAGTAGAACCTCATTGGCTTCATGATTTAAAGAGACTTAATGTTCTTAATGTTCTCTGTTGATGGGTACACAGGTCTTGTAGGACGGAACCTGTCCTAAAAGTCATAATCTGGCGATTTATCAAGAGTTGGCTATCTTTAAAAAAAAAAAAAAGATTTTATTTATTCATGAGAGACACAGAGAGAGGGGCAGGGACCCAGGCAGAGGGAGAAGCAGGCTCCCTGCAGGGACCCGAGGCGGGACTCGATCCCGGGACCACGGGGTCACCCCTGGGCCCAAGGCAGGTGCTCCACGGCAGAGCCCCCAGTGCCCCTGCCTGGCTCTCCTTTAATCGGGGGCTCACTCCTCTAACACCAGCTGCCGTGCCACGGGGTAAGTGGCTGAGTACAGGCCACTGGGGCGTCAGCAGCAAGCCGGGCGCTGAGTGGCGTCGGAAGGGCTGGAGCCCTGTGTCAAGCTGCTCTGCTGAGCCTGCCCCTGAGCAGCGCTTCCTCCATCCCCTCCCTGCCCCTTCCGGGCTCAGCCAGTCGGG